ATTGTTATGTGTGACTCTGATCCTGACATTACGATCTTAGCTGGTTATTTTGCCCATTAGTTGATGCAGTTTCTTCCTAGCATCGATGATCTCTATAATTTGGCATGTTTTTGCAGTGGTTGGTACCAGTTGCTCCTTTCCATGTTTAGTGCTTCCTTCAGGAGCTCTTGCAAGGCAGTCCTGGTGGTGACAAAATCTCTCAGCGTTTGCGTATCTGTAAAGGATTTTATTTCTCCTTTACTTATGAAACTTAGGTTGACTGGATATGTAATTCTGGGTTGAAAACTATTTTCTTTAAGAATGTTGAATATTGGTCCCCACTCTCTTCTGGCTTGTAGAGTTTCTGCCAAGAGATTCGCTGTTAGTCTGATGGACTTCCCTTTGTGGGTAACCCAACCTTTCTCTCTGGCTGCACTTAACATTTTTTCCTTCATTTCAACCTGGGTCAATCTGATAATTCTGTCTCAGGGTTGCCCTTCTTGAGGAGTATCTATGTGGTGTTCTCTGTATTTCCTGAATTTGAATGTTGGCCTGCCTTGCTAGGTTGGGGAAGTTCTCCTGGATAATATCCTGAAGAGTGCTTTCCAACTTGGTTCCATTCTCCCAGTCACTTTCAGGTACACCCATCAAATGTAGATTTGGTCTTTTCACATAATCCCATATTTCTTGAAGGCTTTGTTCATTTCTTTTTACTCTTTTTTCTCTAATTTTGTTCTCTTGCTTTATTTCATTAATTTGATCATCAATCACTGATACCCTTTCTTCCACTTGAACGAATTGGCTACTGAAGCTTGTGCATGCATCACATAGTTCTCCTGCCATGATTTTCAGCTCCGTCAGATCATTAATGTCTTCTCTACATTGTTTATTCTAGTTAGCCATTTGTTTAATCTTTTTTCAAGGTTTTTAGATTCCTTACGGTGGGTTCAAACATCCTTCTCTAGCTTGGAGTAGTTTGTTATTACCGACCTTCTGAAGCCTACTTCTGTCAGCTCATCAAAGTCATTCTCTGTCCAGCTTTGTTCCGTTGCTGTTGAAGAGCTGCAGTCTTCTGGAGGAGAAGACGTGCTCTGGTTTTTAGAATTTTCAGCTTTTCTGCTCTGGTTTCTCCCCATCTTTGTGGTTTTATCTACCTTTGGTGTTTGATGTTGTTGACCTACAGATAGGGTTTTGGTATGGATGTCCTTTTTATTGATGTTGATGCTATTCCTTTCTGTTTGTTAGTTTTCCTTCTAACAGTCAGGTCCCTCAGCTGCAGGTCTGTTGTAGTTTGCTAGAGGTGCCCTCCAGACCGTGTTTTCCTGGGTATCACCAGCGGAGGCTGCAGAACAGCAAATATTGCAGAACAGCAAATATTGCTGCCTGATCTGTCCTCTGGAAGCTTCATCCCAGAGCAGCATCTGCCTGTATGAGGTGTCAGTTGGCCCCTACTGGGAGGTATCTCCCCGTTAGGCTACATGGGTGTCAGGAGGCAATGTGTCCATTCTCAGAGCTCAAACACTGTGCTGGGAGAACCACTGCTCTCTTCAGAGCTGTCAGACAGGGATGTTTAAGTCTGCAGAAGTTTCTGCTGCCTTTTGTTCAGTCATACCCTGCCCACAGAAGTGGAGTCAACAGAGGCAGCAGGCCTTGCTGAGCTGTGGTGGGCTCCACCCAGTTCGAGCTTCCCTGGCTGCTTTGTCTACCTACTCAAGCCTCAGCAATGGTGGATGCCCCTCCGCCTGCCACGCTGCTGCCTCACAGGTTGATCTCAGACTGCTGCTCTACCAGTGAGCAAGGTTCCATGGGTGTGGGACCCACTGAGCCAGGCACGGGATATAATCTCCTGGTGTGCCATTTGCTAAGACTGTTGGAAAAGCACAGCATTAAGACAGGAATGTCCCATTTTTCCAGGTACAGTGTGTCATGGCTTCCCTTGGCTAGGAAAGGGAAATCCCCTGACCCCTTGTGCTTCCCAGGTGAGGCAATGCCCACCCTGCTTCAGCTCACCCTCCATGGGCTGCACCCACTGTCCAACCAGTCCCAATGAGATGAACCAGGTACCTCAGTTGGAAATGCAGAAATCACCTGTCTTCTGCATCGATCATGCTGGGAGCTGCAGACTGGAGCTGTTCCTATTTGGCCATCTTGTAATGGACCCATGTCTTACAATTATTTTGTCAGATTTATTCCTAGTTCCTTTATCATTTTGTTATGAATAAGATCTTTATTTTTATCACATTCCCTTGTTGTTGATGGTATATAGAAAGTTACTGATTGGGATATTGGTCTTATGTTCATATTCTTCCTAAACTCTCTTAGTACTAATAGTAGATTCCCTTGAATTTAAGTCTATGTACCTATGAATAATCAGAGTTTTGTTTCTTATACTCTGATCTTTATATCCAGTAGTATGCTGGTAAATGTATAACTAGTTACCTGGAGAGAAAAGCCCTGATTTGTATCATTAGCCAATTACTGTGATGTATGGCCCAACATGGCCAATTTCAATAGCTATCAACATGACATCAACCAATTCACAAAAACTCTGAAATTTTAACAATCAGTTCTTCAGAGCTCATAAAAGCTGGCTCTAGCACAATACTGTGTTATTTCTCTACCCTTCTTACTGCTATTGCTGGAAACTCTATTATAATGATAAATGGAAGCCATAATAACAAATATCTTAGTCTTATTTCTGATTATAAAGAATGTTTCTGAAAAATTCAATGTTGGGTAAGTTCACTTCAGGTTTTTGATAGACAGCCTTAAGGAAAGTTTCTTCTATTCCGCTTTCCCTAAGAGCTTTCATCACAGGCCAGATGCAGTGGCTCATGCCTGTAATCCCAGTGCTTTGGGAGGCCGAGGTGAGAGCACTGCTTGAGCCCAGGAGGTAGGGAGGCTTGTCTCAAACTCCTGGGCTCAAACTATCCTCCCACCTTGGCCTCCCATAGTGCTGGGATTACAGGTGTGAACCACAATACCTGGCTCTAATGATTTTTTTTAAATCTTACTTCTTTTCTGTGTTAATGTTCTATGTTTTCAATTCCAAATATTATTTATGCTGTCTCTCTCTGATAAATATTATCAAAGGTCGGCTGGGTGCGGTGGCTTACACCTGTAATTCCAGCACTTTGGGAGGCCAAGGCAGGTGGATCACCTGGGGCCAGGAGTTTGAGACCAGCCTGGCCAACATGGCGAAACCCCCTCTGTACTGAAAAATACAAAAATTAGCCAGGCATGCTGTTGCATGCCTGTAATCCCAGCTACTGAGGAGGCTGAGGCAGGAGAATTGCTTGAACCCAGGAGGCGGAGGCAGTAGTGAGCCAAGATTGCGCCACCGTACTCCAGCCTGGGTGACAGAACAAGACTCTGTCTCAAAAAAAAGAGAACGACAACAAATATGTGTGTGTGTGTGTGTGTGTGTGTGTGTATACATATATAAAATCAAATGTTTTTCAACTGTCATTTTCACTGAACCTGATTTTGGTATTGTCAATCCTTTCCTTTCCATCTATTCTGTTTTCTATTTCTTTTCTTTCTTGGTTTTCTTTCTTTCTTTTTCTTTTTTTTTTTTTCTTTTTTGAAACAGAGTCTTATCATGTCACCCAGGCTGTTGTTGAACTCCTGACCTCAAGCAATCCTCCTGCCTCGGCCTCCCAAATTGCTGAGATTATAGGTGTGAGCCTCTGTGCCTGGCCTCTGGCCTATTTCTTTATTTTCAACGTCATTAATTTATTCAATTATTTTTCTTTTACTTTCTTTGGTTACTCAGTTGTTCTTTTTCTAACTTCTTCAGTCAAATGTTTTGTTTCCTAATATTTTTATGTTTTGTATATTCTAATATAAATATTATACTAGAATTTTAATTTTAGTTGTATCCCATGGGTTCAGACATAGTGATGCTGTTGTCACTTGAACATTTCATAATTTTCATTATTTCTTCTGTGACCAATAGATGATTTAAAGTGTGTTCTTGGTTGGGTGCAGTGGCTCACACCTGTAATCCCAGGACTTTGGGAGACCAAGGTAGGTGAATCTCTGGAGGTCAGGAGATCGAGACCAGCCTGGCCAAAATGGTGAAACCCTGTCTCTACCAAAAAATACAAAAATTAGCCAGGCACGGTGACCCATGCCTGTAGTCCCAGCTACTCGGGAAGCTAAGGTGTGAGAATTGCTTGAACCTGGGAGGCGGAGGTTGCAGTGAGCTGAGGTCATGCCATTGCACTCCAGCCTGGGCAACAGAGTGAGACCCTGTCTCAAAAAATAAAAATGAAAATAAAAAATAAGTAAGTGTGTTCTTGGTTTCAGTTTTCAGTTATCTTTTTGTTACTACTTTTTAATTTTATTTTGTCATAGTCACTGATCAAAGACTATATGCTATAGATTCTCTGATAGTTGTTAAGACTTCCTTTATGGCTTAACATACGATCAATATTTTTAAAATGTTCCATGTGAGCATGAAGAGAGTGTATATCCTTTCTTTGCTGAAGATCATGCTGATGATCATTTTTTTGTTTTCTACCACGACCACATATTATATTTGCAATCTGAAAAAGTAATTACTGAATTTAAAAAGCTAATTAGATGATTGCTAACAATTAATAAATCTTCAAGGGAAAGAGATAACAGTAAATTATTACACATTTACTATATATCAATTTACAATATGCCAAGCACTAAAATATTTATTTTATCCTATTTAATCCTCATTATACCCTGTAAGGAAAATATAATTATTGTCCCCATTTTGCAGATGGAAAAACAGAAACACAAAAAGACTAGGTAACTTGCCAAGTCACACAGCTAATAAATAGTGAAGTCTATGTTCTAAAATACTATACTATGTAATATCAACATTGACATTTACATGTATACACATACATATACCCATATAGATGTATATACACATATATGTAAAGTATAAAACAGGCACATCAAATATATCTAACCTGAAATATATTACATGGCATCTTTAGGTCATCATAAGTAATACTGATGAGAGAAAAAAGACAAAATACCTCTGGTGGTTTTTTCATTCAGATTCACACCGTATTTTGCCAAAGCTCTAATCACATCACTTTGCCCAGCCATGCAAGCTGCATACAACAAATTTCTCCCAACGATGTCTTCTTCTAAGAGAAGCTGCATGGCCTGTTCATGATGAGGATTCTCAGGATCTTCAAAAATCTTCTGCAAACCCTCTACATCCCCTGTGAGAGCAGGTTGTAAAAGGGGGTTCCTGGGGCCTGTTTCCTCTGGTTCTTGGACTTCTTCTTCTTCATCTTCCTCTTCCTGCTGTGAGAAAAATTCTGAACTCTCTGACTCTGGAGGTCCTTCTGACTCCATTAACTCCAAAAATACCTATGACCAAAAAAATTAAAAAGTGATAAAAATCTACTCAAACACATCAGTATTTGTTTATTTATTTGCTCAGTCAACTGACAATATAGATGGTATAAAAATACTTAACTAGTTGAAAATAACTATAAAGTAAGATACTTCAGCAATTCCATCAATAAAGTTTATTGTGTACCTATTATGACTAAGTACATATAACACGGCTCAAGTATATACTAAAATGTTAAATGTGTGAAATAAATAATAAATTCAATAGAAACAGAAGATCGTATGATCTAAATTCATTAGGAAGAGATTGAAAAAGAATGTCTAAGAGACCCACCTGCCTAAATAAGGGTCCCTGTATGAGAGAAGTGAGAAATATAATAGGGTTACTGGAACCAGATTATAAAGACTTTAAAAATTAGGCACCGACATTTAAACAGAATTCATTCGCTCAGTAACACATACTGAAAGCACTGTGTAAATTGTGAAAACCGGAATCAGATTTATTTCCTACCCTCAACAAGTTACTATTTCAAGGGAAAAAATATGAAATGCACAAAATAAGTGTGATAAAAGGTGACAAGTAGTAAATACCATAACGAAAGAAATGCTATAGGAGTTTAGAAGGGATAAGATTAATTCTAGATAAAATTATTCAAGGATGTCTCTTTTTTTTCACATCAGACAGGAAACGTGCCCATGTTGTAACAAGGTTTGAAGGAGGTACCTCTCAAACATGAGCATGAAAACCCAATAATCACACCTATGAATTACGAAAGGATCTAACTAAGGATGTCTTGCTAGTGCTTCAGTCTGTCAGAACACAATATTAAACCGGGAAAGATTCAGAGAAGAGTACCAGAGACCCTTCACACATACAAGAATGTTTGTGGCATCACTGTTCACAACAGCAAAAAACCCAGAAGGGAAAACCAATGTCCAAGAAGAGGAGCATAAACTGGTATATTCAAACAAAATGGTATATAACTGTTAAAAGAAATAAATTACAGTGGTATGCCATACGGTAGGCAGCTTCTGACAAGGCTCCCAATGTCCCACCCCTGCCTCCTGGTATTCATACCTTTGTGTAATTTCCTCACCTTGAATGTGGGTTGGACCTAGTGACTGGCTTCTAATGAAGAGAATACAGCAATAGTGAGGGGATGTAAATTCTGTAATTCAGTTACAGTAGACTGTGATTTTGTCTTGCTGATATTCTCTCCCTTGCTCTTCTCATGCGCTGTGATGGAGAAGGCCACCTTTCAAGGAAGGAGGGTGATCTCTGTTCAACAGCCAGTAAGAATCAAGGCTCTTAATCCAATTCCATAAGGAACTTAATTCTGCCAGCAATCACCGAGTGAGCATGGAAGTAGATCTGGCCCAGTTAACCTTGAGGTGACTATGGCCTCAGGCAACACCTTGATTATAGCCTCATGAGAAATCTTCAAGTAGAGGATCCAGCTAACCTGTGCCTAGATTCCTTTTTAACCTAACAAGCTTGGGGCTAATTTGTCACACAGCAGTAAGACACAGAACAATATAAATGAATCTTATCAATATATCACATGAAAAATATAAATCCAAAAGATTTTATATATATATAAAGATATATTTTTGTCAAGTGAAAAGTAATTGAACAGACTTTTTAGGAATACAAGTAGATGCAGTAACACTACACAGAAATAAAAGACAAAAAGCAAGATTGAACACAGATTCAAGATCATGTTTACCAGGATGAAGGGTAGTGGGAGAAGACGAGATGCTGGAAATGTGATAAAGGGAATCATATGTTTAGTAAAGAATATTAACATTTAAGTTGAGCCATCAGGAATGGGCAAGACTGTCATTCAGAAGTCAGAAGGAAAGAAATTCCAGATGGAATAACTAAGTTAAAGCACCAAAGCAAAGATCACAGGTATTTTTGGTAATGAGCATGTTGGCCAATTTGGTTAAGTATAAGCCATTCAAAATAAGCAAGAAGTCTGCTCTTAAAAAGAGCCTGGGATTGCATCAATAAGTCTGAACTTGATTCTGTAGGCAACTGGTAGAGCAAGGAACAATTAAGGACAGTTAGCTGAAGGTTTTAGTGCTAGGAACTAAGTAGGTTTCAAGGAGATTGGTCTGACAAGCCTGAGTGACATAGATTAGAGGAGTAAGAGACTAGAGGCAAAAAAGAAAAATTAATTAGACAGTTATTGGAGAAGTCTAAATTAGTGTGAATTAGGGCTTTAATTATTCACTCATATAATTCAGTGTTTAATGGATTCCTTCCTCTATGCCAGGCACTATGCTAGATCCTGAGGATTCAACAAGTTAGGAAAGATCCCTCCTATCATGAAGCATATATTCTGATTGTACGCAGGCAATAAAAAATAAAACAAACGTGATAATTTTAGACTGTTATAAGTGTTTCCAAGGAAATAAACATGGTGAAGCACTAGGAAGTAACAGGGAAGTGAAGAGAAAAAACTTGAAAAAGAAAAATCAAGGTGATATTGAAGTAGGACTGCAGAGAATGACAAAGACTATGAAGGCCACAGGAAAATGGAACAGAAATCCAAAGCAGGGGTTAAAGGCCAGAGAGCAAATATTTTAGGCTTGTGGGCCCTCTGTCTCTATTCTAACTACTCAACTCTGCAGTTGTTGCTTGAAAGTAGTTATAGACAATACACAAATGAATGGGTGTGCCTGTGTTTGAAGAAAACATTATTTACAAAACAAGTGGTGTTCCACAGGCCATAGTTTTCTGACCCTGTTCTTAAGAAATAACAGTCCTAAAGAGTGCTGAAAGAAAAGAAAACTGTCATTTACTTCTATGGTGAAGTAAAGAAAATAAATAGGATAATAGTTGAAAGCTCATTGTGATATGCATTTTAAATTGGTAGAATATTACAATCTTCTCTATTACTACGCTACATTAATCCCTTCCTTCTATAAATGTGTATAATGCTTGTAAGCCATTAGGAATTCTTTGGCTGTAAATAATAGAAAAGCCAAATAAGATTGGCTATTTAAAAGTAGGAGATTCTTTTCACACATAATGAGAAATTTAAAGATGGAGATGGTTCAGCAGCTCAAAAATATAGATTCAATCTCTATCACTCCATCATAGTTAGTGTGTAAGACTTTCATCTTCACAACTCTTGCCTCATGTTATAACTCCTGGAATCTCATCTTAATTCATGGCAGGAAAAATGGGGAATCTCCTAGAGGACACCAGTGATATCAATCCCTCCAATCCCTCTTAAGGGGAAAGCAAAACAAAAATCTTTCCTAACAAGTCCCAACAAACTTCCAGTTAATATCTCAAAGGCCAGACTGTACAATGTGGTGTGGCTACCCCATCTTTAAGAGGAGAGGGGGAGAAAAAAGCAAGTTTCTTGATTTTCCAGTCTCTATGATAGAGGCAAGCAAGGTAGACAGGGATTGGAAACGGGAGTTGAGTTACCCAATCAACAATGACTCAACCATAAGATTCGGTGCATGTCTTGTATTTGAGATGGTTTAGTTCAACTCTTTCATTTTACAGAAGAATTACAGTGGAAACTTGTAATTCTTCAGTGTCTGACATCCAACTCCCTACCCTTCCAACACACACACACACACCTTCTTTAAAGCACACCTATCTCAGTTTCAGATAATTCTAATAAAAGATATAGCTAACTTCCCACACCAGAAGATAAAGAAGCAGGATTCTTCTTTTCTCTCTCTCAGTACAAGCCTGGGGGCAGGTACATTATTTAAGCTCAGCCAATCAGGGGCTCCATCCTACGATCTTGACTCTTAAACAAGGGATACAAGAAAATGAGGCTAGTTGAAGGGCATTCATCACAAGTGACAGAAATAGTATGCTGATCAAACTTCCTGCTATGAGAAGATGCTGTGGTTCTTGTGGTCTGATCCTCCACAGTTCCCTTGGTTTCCTCATTTTCAGCCTCCCAGTAATTACTAGTTGTCTTCCCCAAAATCTAATCTCCTTTTGTTTTGGAATAGAACCCCACCCTCTTCTTTTGGAATAGAAGCCCACCCTCTTTTCTTTTAACAAGACTTTTTTAAAACTGATCTTTACGGTGGAATAAGACTATTTTCCAGTCTCTCTTGTAATATTGGTGTTGCCACATGCCCAAATAGTAAGCAATAAGATCTAAGCAGATATATAGAGTGCAAATTCCAGGAATGCTTAATTCCTTCTCACTGGATTTCAAACATAATAGCTGGAGCTTGAAAGGATAATGGTTGGTCTCTTCAAATACATATGTATTATTTTATATCTTGTATAAATTATTTCTGTTATAATACATAATATATATTAGTTTGACATTTCATTTTAATTTTATATGTAAATATATGTAACTTCTATCAATAGAGTGACCACATAATTTATTGATTGGTAACAATGGACAATTTTACCATGGATACATTGCATATATTTGTACATATATATTTCTTTTTAAAACAAAGCAATATTTCTCTTTACTATAGGTAACATATCACTGTTTTTTGTCCCATTTTTATTTTTTTAAAACTGGGTGCCACCTACTAAATTGACTGCATCACCCACTAAATGGGATGCAACCCACAGTGTGTAAAAACATGGGTCTTGAATAAGCACTATGGAGACTATACCAGGAAATCAACAAGAAGAACTCTAACAGAAGTTAAACAGCTTGTGTTTATGGTTAATAGCTTGGGTGACATATGTCCCAATGTATGCAGGACATTTCCCGTTTTATCTGTTTTCCTGGTATAATTTTTAATAGCATCTACTTTCACTCTCAAAAGTGTCCATTATTATTAGACAATAATTTTGTCACTCTATTAATAGTAGTCATAATCTTTTGAAACATTTCTGCTAAAGATATCCATATTCAAACCTTGCAGAATAGAGGCAGGATGTGTTAGGAATGGCTTTCACTGGCACACCAGGGACCCAGCCATGAGAACTTGAAGATACTGAGAAATTCCTATTTTTGTTTCACAGGTATTCCTGTTATGAGACCTAAAATAGCTTTACATCTCCGACATTCCAACTACCCAAATCCTATTTAGGCCGAGCTATAAACCCACTTTCTTCCTAAAACTTTCCTTAATTCCTCTCTTGAGTGCACACTGGCCTCTCAATATTCTGAACTCCAAAGGCCATTGTGTATAGTCTATACAATAGAACCTACCAAATATGATATTATATAATTTTCTAATTGTTTCAAGTATGTAAGACATCTATCCAATTACGTTGTAAACTTGCTGGGGGCAGGAATGAAGCTTTACATTTCTTTGTGTTACTTTCAGACTTACCACAATTCTTAACAAGTTGTATATATTCAATAACTCTTAAAGTCAAGCTTGCAATTCCCAGTGCTTCTTTTCGTAGCCAAGAGCAATGGGTTTTGGAGTCAGAGAGACTTGAGTTCACAATCCAATCCTGCAATTTATTAGCTGCAAAATACTGGGCAATTTACCTACTCTCTTGTAGGAATAACACTAGAGTCTAGACTCTGATTGTTCTAAGAATCAAAATAAATTAAATGATGTACATACCAAGCACATGGGGAACATTTAGTAAATACAAGCTACCATTATAATTATTAGGTCATCATCAAACCTCCAGCAAAATAATCCATGAAGCAAAAGAAAAGATGGTAATGCTACTATTTATTTTCTTTCTTTTTTAAAAAAAGAAAACAACAATAACAACAACAACAAAAAAAAATTAGTTCCTGCTATATTGCACAGACTGGTCTTGAATTCCTGGCTCAGGCTATCCTCCTGCCCTGGATCCCAAGTAGCTGGGCTCACAATCTTCCTGCCTCCACCTCCCAAGTAGCTAGGACTACAGGCCCATGCCACCAGGCCCAGCTCTTTCTCTTTTTTGAATATTCCATAGTTTATTCCTATGCAGGCTATGAATAAATAATTTTCTACCCTACCACCACCAGATATTTGATTACCAACATATCATTCCACATGTAGAGATCAGTCTGATCCCAGGTTAATTCAGAGATATGCAGACAAACTAGATCAAATCTTGCACTATGATTTGGGCCAGAATACTCACAGCTACTCTTGTTATACTCTTAAATGGAGCTTAATTTCTATATCAGCCCAGAACCAACATAATGAGGGCAGCGGTTCTCATATTCTTTGATCTCAGGGCTCTTTACAGTCTTAAAAATTAAGAACCCCAGGGAATTTTTCTTTATGTGGGCTATATCTAAATTAATATTTATATGAGAAATTAAAACTGAGGCCGGGTACAGTGGCTCACATCTGTAATCCCAGCAGTTTGGGGGACTGAGGTGACTGGATCACTTGAGTTCAGGAGTTCGAGACCAGCTTGGGCAACATGCTGAAACCCCATCTCCACAAAAAATACAGAAAAGAAAATAGCTGAGCATGGGGGCACATGCCTGTGGTCCCAGCTACGTGGGAGGTTGAGGTGAGAGAATCATTTGAGCCCAGGAGGCAGAGGTTGCAGTGAGCCATGATCATGCCACTGCACTCCAGCCTGGATTACAGGGCAAGATCCTGTCTCCAAAAAACAACAACAACAACAACAACAAAAACATAAAGTACATATTAATTCATCTTAAACACATTACCTGTTAACAAAAAAAAAATAGTTTATGAAAAATAACTAGGCCTGAATACAACCAAAGATTAAGTAAGGGAGAACTCACTCTCTCTGCCTATTTTCAAGGAATAATGACAAGAAAAAAAGTATGTATATGTTTAGTATAAACAGAACCATCCATGTTTTTTCCAAATATTTTAGATCCAGGGCTGGTTTAATCCACAAATACAGAGGATTATATATATTGTATTGATTCTGTTTCTCTGAAGAACTCTAATACAAATAGCATTTTATTTTTATTTTTTCTTTTTTTTTTTTTTTGAGACAGGATCTCACTCTGTCACCCAAGCTGAGGTGCAATGATGCCATTACGTCTCGCTACAGCCTGAACTCCTGGGCTCAAGCAATCCTCCCAACTCAGCCTTCCGAGTAGCTGCGACTATAGCTGCATGCCATCACACCAGGCTAATTTTTAAATTTTTCTGTAGAGACAGGGGGTCTGGCTATGCTGCCCATACTGGTCTCAACCTCAAGCGATCCTCCCACCTCAGCCTCCCAAAATGCTGAGATTACAAGTGTGAGCCACCGTGCCCAACTGCAATTTACATTTTAGAAAACTCCTATTGGCCATGTGTTGGCCAACAATTTCCCAATACTTTCATGATGAGATCAGAGGTGATATTAATGAAAGTGGGCTTTTAAAAATATTACAGCATGAAACATGTTAACATTTGGAAAACTGATATAACTAAATGAAGCAACATTTTGCTAATGACTGCTTTTCTCCTTTACAAAATCAGCTACACTCCCCCTGCCATTTTCCATTATGTTACAATATCAAGCATGGGTAAAAGATCCAAAGTATAGAACAGATCAATAGATTTTAATGTAACACAGTATGAAAAGTTCATTGACATGGCTTCAGATTCCACACTGCAAGTAGCTTTTAAGAAACTACCACTTGTGGCCGGCTGCAGTGGCTCACACCTGTAATCACAGCATTAGGGAGGCTGAGGTGGGCAGATCACAAGGTCAGGAGTTCAAGACCAGCCTGGCCAATATGGTGAAACCCCGTCTCTACTAAAAATACAAAAAAAGCAAAAAAAAAAAAAATTAGTCGGGCATGGTGGCAGGCACCTGTAGTCCCAGCTACTCAGGAGGCTGAGGCAGGAGAGTCACTTGAACCCAGGAGGCAGAGGTTGCAGTGAGCCGAGATTGCCCCACTGCACTCCAGCCTGGGGCAACAGAGACTCCGTCTTAAAAAAAAAAAAAAAGAAACTACCACTTGTAGAGTTTTGGTGCAGTCACAAAAAATGTGCACAATTATCTGAAAAAGCTATTAAAATACTCTTCCCTTTTCCAACTATATATCTATGTAAGGAGGAATTTGCTTTACACATTTCAAAACAACTTATTGCAACAGATTGACTGCAGAAGCAGACTTAAGAATCTGTCTCCCATTAAGCCAGAAATTAAAGACATTTGCAGAAATGTAAAATAATACCACTTTCTCACTAATTCTTTTGTTCTGGAAAATAGTTATTTTTATGAGAAATACATAATTTATGTTAACATGTGAATTTGTTATTTTTTAAGGAATTAATAAACATTTTTTAAATCCTCAGTTTAATTTCTAATTCTTACATCTAATACTGTATTAAAAGATATAACTCACATAAAGGAAAGCTCTTTTTGATCATTTTTTAAGAGTGAAATGGAGTCCTGAGACAACAAAGTTTCAGGGCACTGCCTTTGGATATACATGAGACCTAGAAATAGGGAAGTCTTGCAGGATGCTTGCCCTACTCAATTGCTATAGCAGGGCAAGGAGGCTTTGCAGGGAGGGAGGGCTGTGGTGCAAACCACTCCAGTCAGGGCTGAAGGGAAGTCACAGCAGGAACTCAGTGCAACTGAGTGAGCCAGGGAGCTCTACTGAGTCCTGACCAAACCAGGAGATACCTGTTCACAAGGTATATAAGCCAAAGGTTAACAAAGAACCACGAAAGCCCTAGGGAGCACCCGGTATACCAGGAACATCACCCCCCTCCCCCCGCCACAGCCAAGGGAAGGCAAAGGGACCCTGACACGTCCCCATAACTGATTCCATGAGCCATCCACACGCATCCACATAGCCGGGGGACCATCTCAAGGAAAGAATCCAAGAAGATACCTGAAAACCTAAACATTTGTATATAAGAGAAATTAAGCACTACCCAAAGAATTCAATTCTAAATTGAGCTAAACTTGAAAACCAATTGGACAGTTAGATTCTTTCCTAATAATCAATATGTAAATGCTCATGAAAGGAACTAGATCAGTCATATACAAAAATAAATTACATTGTCTTTGCCCACAGAAGTAATAACATACATCAAAATTGTAACCCTGCTACATATAACTAAAGTTTCACATAGAACATGAACATGGGAGGGAAGAGGGAAAGCTGGAACTATGAAGGCAGAATGGCATTGCTTTAGTCTTGATTCTGTTACTAATTACGTGACTTTTCTGAAATGAGGATAGCACCTGGTCTGCCTTACTAAATCAGTCTAGAAAAATCTATAAACCTTTTTAAGTATAGAATGTGAATGCTTTCGAGGCACCCACAATAGAAAATCACATAGGTCATAGTCCCTACCCCGAAAGCTCTCACATTTTAGTAGGGAAGACACAAGTAAATCAGTAATGACAGAGTGAGATCAGGGATTCAATGGAGGTAGGCAAAGAGTGCTTTGAGAGTTAAAACGTGGACATCTACATTCAATTCTGGGTGGCGGTCTCAGAAAGGTTTCCCAGAAGAGGTGAAACCTTCATATTGAAGAGCAGGAGTTTTAAAAGGAGGAAAAAAGGACAATCCAGGTAACGGGAAGAACATAAACAAAGGGCAAGGAGGCAGGCGACGCAGCCTGAAGTTGTGATACAGGAGTAGATCCTTACGTGCCTTTTAAGCCAACTGATTTTTTTCATCAAAAAAAAAAAATGTAGTCCCTTAAGGATTTTAAGTCCCAGCTCAAGGAGAAGGACCCCCAAGGGCAGCCCCGGGTACACAGGATTAAACAAAGAGAGGGCCTGAGGAACAGGATACAGAAAGTGTCAGCGCCGCCAGGTGATCCAGGAGGTCCCGCGAGGGAGCAACGGACTCTTCTGGGCACCAGAGTTTGCTCTTCGGCCTGAATTCCCTGGGGACCTTCTGCGATTCCCTCGCGCCTGCCCGCGGGGTAGGGGACCGGTGTGCAAAGCTCTGGACAGAAGCAGTTTGAGGACGCTGAGATTGAAGCCCACTCCCCTCCAGCCCTGCCCCAGCAACCTGGAGGGAAGATGTCCGTCTACCCCCTCGCACCCTTCCCCGAGTGCCCACCCGGCTCACGGCGCCAGGACCCCTAGACTCACCACACCCGAGCCCCAGCCTCCTCGGTTACCATGGCAACGGCGCACCGCGCGAGGCAGCGCCTCCCCCTGCGCCGCGGTTCCGGCAGCGCGGGAAGGTTATGCTTGGTGGCAAAGGCGCAGGAAGCCAGAGGGGAAAAACAGCCAGGAATTAATCCAGATAATTTCAGTTTCTGGGTGGCCTGTCGGTTTTTTCTTTGTTTTGTAAATTTTCTGTAATACTGTCTGTATTTGTTTTACAGTTTAAAAATAAGTTGTGCGTATTGGTTGTTGGCCCGTCTAACCTTTGGCTTTTAAACGAAAGAATTTTCTGGAAATAGGAGATTGCATTCTAAAAACTACAAAAGATTATACGAATAACCCCTTAATTTTCCAGTTATTGGATCTCTTTCTCCCATGGTTTATGGTCATTGTCACCAGCAAGGAGCGTTTCAGGCGACCTCACAAGTGCCAGCTACCTTAGGAGCAGAAGAAACTTGGAGACTATATCCCTCTTGATTCAGAAATTCAAGATGCAAAACGCAACTTTAAAAGGGGGGAAGCGAAGGAGGTGGAGGGACAAGGGGTTTGAAAGAAACAGCAGGGAAGGGCCAGGCATACCTAGTAATTATATCAATGTTCACCTGAATCACACAGTGAAAACAGGGAAGTTTTTGTGCTGAAGGCAAGTGTGAAGGAAAATATTCATTTCTTTAGTGCTTCTACCAGGAATCCATTAAGGAGTAGGTGAATGTTTTAGAGGGGCTCTGAACATTTGTGCTGACGTTCGAATAGCCTAGTTTTGAAATGAATATTTGACCAAAGGCCCAAGCAAAATTTCACCATTGTTACAGTAGGTAGGTAGTCAGGCATGAGCAGAGCAGGCTCCCCTATCCCCCACCAGGAATGTCATGTGACCGTCAGGTAATAGGCAGTTGTTAACTGTCTCTAAAATAATAATTGGTTGCATCCAATGCCAGGAAAAGGCGCTCTCCCAATAGACAGAAAACACCTGAAACTGGTTATCAGCAGCTTCCCCATAAGATCTCAGGAGTTAGGTGATGTGAGAAACATACTCACCTGTCCAAACCCAAAGAATGGACTTAGAGGCATGAAGAACAGCAAAAGAGAGACTTTTCAATAACAGTCTTGCAAGATCAGGTGTCTGGTGAGCAGGCACACCCAGTGCAGTTTTGTCAAGGAATTTATCACCTAGTGTACAAGTCCCTACCCCGGTTCCTCATAGGCTGAGTACTATGGGGTTACAATCTTCCATTACCTAAGTTTCATTATCCCCTTACAAGGTTACATCTTGTCTCCTTCCCCACTTTAAGTTTTGATTTCCCAATGACAAAACTTTCTTTCCTTTTATGGATTAGCCACCCCACCCCCTATTCTTTTTCTCCCTCCCCTCTGACTTCCGTGAGTCTTATCACTCTTCCCAGATGTCTGTAGCGCACGGCTTGTCATGTCTGCAAGGGAGCTGCCCGGATTTGCCGGGGCCTGTTTTCTGAAAATGGACCACTTAAAAAGTACTTCTTGGGGCCGGGCGCGGTGGCCCAAGCTTGTAATTCCAGCACTTTGGGAGGCGGAGGCGGGCAGATCACGAGGTCAGGAGATAGGGACCATCCTGGCTAACAAGGTGAAACCCCGTCTCTACTAAAAACACACACACAAAAAAAAAATTAGCTGGGAGTGTTGGTGGGCGCCTGTAGTCCCGGCTACTCGGGAGGCTGAGGCAGGAGAATGGCGTGAACCCGGGAGGTGGAGCTTGTAGTGAGCCGAGATCGCACTACTGCACTCCAGCCTGGGCAACAGAGCGAGACTCCGTCTCAAAAAAAAAAAAAAAAAGAAAAAGAAAAGTACTTCTTACTGGTGAGTGGGCTCAAGGATACACATTAAGAGTCAAAATGGCAGAGTTTAACTAGTATATGACCTTCTTGGGTACATTCAACTGGTGAGAGAAGAATGCCTCAAGTGATCATGCATAGAACTGCAGTAAACACACTACATGTGCTCCTCTCCCAAGTGCTAGCAGGTCACTGCACATGCGGACAGCCCGCCCCAAGAGAAGAACCGGGGAGAAGGGACGCAAAACCCCAGAAGTATGCCAACATATAAAACCCTAAGGCCGGGCACAGTGGTACACGCCTGTAATCCCAACACTTTGGGAGGCTGAGGCCCCACAATCACGAGGTCAGGAGATTGAGACCATCCTGGCTAAACACGGTGAAACCCCGTCTCTACTAAAAATACAAAAAAAAAAAAAAAAAAAAAAAAAAAAATTAGCCGGGCGTGGTGGCACGCGCCTGTAGTCCCAGCTCCTTGGGAGGATGAAGCCGGAGAATCTCATAAACCCGGGAGGCGGAGCTTGCAGTGAGCCCAGATCGCACCACTGCACTCCAGCATGGGCGACAAAGCCAGACTCCGTCTCAAAAAAAAAAAAGAAACCCTAAGTCAAAGGTCAAACTGCACTTGATCTCTCAAAGTCACCCACTTGGCCCTTTCCAAGTGTACATTACTTCCTTTCATTCCTGCTCAAAAGCTTTTTAATAAACGTACACTCCTGCTCTAAAACTTGCCTCCATCTCTTCTTATGCCTTATGCCCCTCAGTCAGATTCTTTCTTCTGAGGCGGCGAGAATTGAGGCTGCTGCAGACCCGTACAGATTCACCACCAGTAACACCACCATAAATCTGAACTTCTGAAATACAAGAATAAATTTGAACTTTTTCAAATGTGATTATTAAATTTTTCATATTCAAATAAGTTGTGGTAATCAAAATTTTGGAGTTTGACATTACAGACAGGAATGATAATCTGTCAGTTGCAAGCTTGCTCCTGCTGTCACTATACAACACATTTGTTCTACTCAACAATCATTTCTTACTGAAGGTGATGAAGAGCAAGGCTAAGTTTAGGTATTTCAGTTTTAACATGCCATTTTTTCATAGTCTTTGTTTTTTAATATCTGGATGGAAGATGACTTATGATGCATAACTGTACGAAACTGTACATGATTCTGTTTTTCATTCATCTTCAGGGGATACGAAGAATTCCCACATATAACTGTTTCTTGAAAGTCTGAAGTGGAATTAAATAACTAAAAATTAAATAGAGTTTTTAAAGTTTTTTTTGAGTGCTCTGAATGCTAATATTAGAAAGGTAGCAAGATACAAAAGGTTTGAGACCTAAAAGCAAAGATGCCCTGAGCTCCCCTTGAACTCCACGTCAGAAACAGCTGCGTGATGCATCTAGGCAGACCAGGTTAGAAACAGACAGGAGATCCATGGCAAGAGTGTGGCCTAGATGCAGCAGAAAAACTCCCATGACACCCGCTCTTAGCCATACCCTCTGCAAGCTTGACCTGAGAGTACTGGAAAGAACCACTGGATTTGAAGGGGCTGAGTGCCCATGTGTAAGAGACATCTCAGCAATAACCTATGGGTATTAACGGAGGTCCAGATAAGACAGTGGAGGCCTGGTGAACAGACAGCTTAAGCAGCAAATGATTAAGCACCATTCAAACCCCCCAGAAATTAGATCCCCTCTAGAAAATTATGGTGAGAGGTTTCCAGAATGATTGAAATTAGTTTTTTCCAACAGGAGAACAGGCCCTCAGAATAGAAATTATTGTATAAAAAACTATATTTCTATGCCTTTTTTTTTTTTGAGATGGAATCTTGGTCTGTCACCCAGGCCGGAGAGCAGTGGTGTCATCTCGGCTCACTGCAACCTCCACCTCTTGGGTTCAAGCGATTCTCTGGCCTCAGCCTCCCAAGTAGCTGGAATTACAAGCACGTGTCACCATGCCTTGCTAATTTTTGTAATTTTTTAGTAGAGATGGGGTTACACCATGTTGGGCAGGCTGGTCTTAAACTCATGACCTCAGGTGATCCACCTGCCTTGGCCTCCCAAAGTGTTAGGATTACAGGCATAACAACCACACCCTGCCATATTTCTATACTTCATAGACTAAGAGTCATGTTCTTTGTACAATACCAATTTCTGATGAAAAACCTGGATAAACTAGTAGAGTAAGTTACTCCATGGTAACTTTATGTGCTACAATAATCATGTCTTGTTGTTTGAAAGCCCATTATATGCTGAGTATTGTGTTAAGTGATTCATATAAAAATTATCTCTAATCCTTATAGCAACTCTGTGAAAGTGATTTTTTTTTTTTTTTTTTTGATATTATTCTTGAAACTGACACTTAGGAAGGTTGAGTCACCTACCTAAGACCACACAGCTAATAGGGCCAAACCAGTATTTGTACCTAGGTTAGTCTGGTTTAAAACACCAGAGGACTGCTACTTGTTAGCTATATGCTAATTAAATATTATAGAAAATCTGCCAAAAATAATAACTATTTCAAAATAATTTACTTTGTGTCTTTCTGGCAATAATTAGATAATATTAAAACTACTCCCCTAGTATACAACAAAAGAATTATTTCTCCATGCAGCTAATCTCTACAGTTGAGAAGAATGACATAGTGAACACCCATGGTTTTCACCCGCCGGTCCCTCCTTTTCTGGTTAGTGAACTCCCATTTTCTATGAAGGAACCTTTCTTTTTTTTCTGGATATAGCATCTTACTCTGTCACCCAGGCTGGAGTGCAGTGGTGTGATCACAGCTCACTGCAGTCTCATTCTCCCCAGGCTTAGGTGATCCTGCCACCTCAGCCTCCCAAATAGTTGGGACTACAGGCACCCGTCACCATGCCCAGCTAAAATTTTTTTGTATTTTTTTGTAGAGACAGGGTTTTGCCATGTTGCCCAGGCTGGTTTCCAACTCTCAGCCTTAAGTGATCCTCCTGCCTCAGCCTCCCGAAGTGCTAGGATTACAGGCAGGAGCCACTGCACTCAGCCCACCTTCATGGTTCTTTTGGGATGGGGATATTTTTGACTTTTTTTCCCACATTCACCATGCTTTTGTGAACCTCAAAAATCTGAGACAGGTGTCTATTGATTTAGAAAGTTTATTTTGCCAAAGTTGAGGATGCACGCCCATGACACTGCCTCAGGAGGTCCTGATAACATGTGCCCAAGGTGGTTAGAGCAG